GGGGGGGGGAGGGGGAGGGAGCGGGCAGGAGAGAGAGAGAAGGGGGCGGCCAGGGCTACAGCAGGGGCGCTGCCACGCGGCCCCTCCCGCTGCGCCGCCTCCTGCCGCCTGCCGCGAGGGCTCCGCTCCGGTCAGCGGGGAGGGAAGGAAGAGGACTGCCCTGCAGGGCGCTCTGGTCCTCCGCGCCGCCGCCCCCTACAGGGCGGCCGGAGCGGACAAAAAAAAAAAAAAAAGCGGCTGTGCCGCCCTAGGATTGGGCAGAATGCCGCCTCGAAAAATCTGCCGCCCCAAGCACCAGCTTGCTCAGCTGGTGCCTGGAGCCGGCCCTGGTCCCAGGATATTAAAGAGACAAGGTGGATGAGATATCTTTTATTGGACCAACTACTGTCTCCAGACCTGAAGAAAAGCTCTGTGTAAGTTCGAAAGCTTGTCTCTCTCACCAGCAGAAGTTGGTCCAATAAAATATATTACCTCATCTACCTTGTCTCTATAAATTCTATTGTAACAACTTTTAAGGTTAAAGAGTTTTTGACTTGCCTTCTCATGAAACAGAGTTTTTGTTCCACTGGGTTAAAGCTTTGGTGACTTCTGCTGGAAGCAGACACAGTGCATATTGATTTTTTTAATATGACAGTGATTATACTGGAAACAACAATAAATGGTTCTTCTGAGGCTAGTAACAGTTGATCTTGTTAACAGATTTCATATTTTACAATTTAACACAATGTTGCATTCTGTTAAACTGTGCAACTTCACTAATTTAAGTAACAGGTTGGCAAGATATTCTTCCTACAATTATTATTTGAAATAATGGAACCTCTATGAAAGAAATGAAAAAAAGATAGAAAGAATGGTATAAAACTCTCATGTTTCTGAAAGGTGAGTATAAATTCCTGTTTTAGGTGAGGAGCTGGTATCATGGGCTGATAGATTTTCTTGTTCTACAACTACAAAATCAATAAAAATAATCATATCTAGCTCTTATATAGTGCTTTTCATCAGTAGGTCTAAAAATACTTCATAAAGGAGGGCACTACATTTATTATTTGGACATTCTGAAAACACATATTAGCCAACGTGTCCTAGACTATTAGAAATACATGGCTTTCAAAAGGTAAGGTTCCCTGGATTTGCAGTTAGGGGTTATATCTGACTCACCGTATGCTGTAAGACTGACATTTTCAAGACTTTAACAGAACTGGAGACCCAAATCCCATTGAAATCAATGGGAGTTGGGTGGCTAATTCTCTTAGGCTCCTTTGAAAACTCCAGCCCCAATGTCACTAGGTAATAATGATCTCGATTGGAGTACTATACAGGTGGACAAATACACAGTTTTTGTAGATTTTCTTAAGTTTTATTAATATACAAGGATAAACTCGGAGTCAAATTCCCCACTGGTGTGAGTGGGCACATTCTACTGAAGAAAAATGGAAATGCACCTGCTTATGCCAGCAGTAAATTTGATCTAGTAACAAGAATTCATTTAGTTTGATATGTAATTTATTTATACTAAAAATTTTATATGCTTTATTACTAAGGTGAGTCAGCAGTACAAGAGCAGTTCCCACAACTGGAATCACCACAATTAGTAATGCTGCTACTCTTATCAATTCCTGACAGAGTTATAATAATGAGAGTGTACTGGGTGAGAAGCATGAAAGGAGAGAGAACAATAATAAAAGAAAAGGGAATAAGATTGAATTGTGTCAGCAATGCATTAATTGCCTAGCCCTGCACACTGCTCCAGTACCAGGTGTAGTGCGTAGATTCCTCTTTCAGGCTGAAGATTGGCTGTGAGGAGCCACGTTAGAGCCCCGAGGCTGCAGCTGCCTCTGTGCTGATAACACATCCCCCTTCTGATAGAAGGATCTGTGCATTAGAGTGAAATCTTCCATTTTTCAAACTGACATGGTCCCACAGCAGGCAAAGCAACCATACTTCTGGAAGTTTGATGTATATTGTTTGTAACCAAGCTATTGTAGGCAACCACTCCTAGCAAAAGGAGAGGAACCAGTGATCTCTTTGTCAACAGTGTGCACTGACTCTGAAAAAAAAATGCATTCATAGCTATTGCTAATAGCGTCATAGTTAGGTGTGAGTCTTCTCCTACATGTATCGGTGCCATTTAATGTAGCAGACAGAAGGCCTGATACTTCTTAACAAGCTAGGGAGTGGGAAGGGGGGGTGAAGGAGTGGAAAGAGCTGAGGCCCCACCCCCCACTTGCCAGCCAGAGTAACAGTTGTATGGTGGGGAGTAAGCTGCAGCCTGCAAAGTGGTGAAGTTACTCACTTCCGGTATTCCCAAAGCAAGTGAGAGTAGGAGAAGAATAGTACCTTTGTGAGGCACAAATCCTTTCACAGTGTCCTCCTGGTTACTCCAATGGCACATCACCCACTACACAGGGGCCTAATGGCTCAGGCTACCACCTGATGTTGATAAAATGTTTCATGCCAGTCATTATTATAAATAATTATTATTCACTATGCGGCATGTTGCCAGTGAAAGCAGGCCAAAAAATGAGCCTTGGCAGGGACTTTGATACTGGGTTACTTGTTTCCTGTCTCCCTTCCAACATCTGACATGGTTACTAACACAAGGTGATTTATGATTAAACTTAATAATGAAGCTAACGATTTCACCAGACAAGACAAACCCATTTAGTACTAATTACACCTATTAAAGATGTTACAAAAGGTGCGAGGTGATTTGCAAAACATACTTGTCTCCTTTACTCTTGGAAATGCCAACCAGCTTCTCAATGCCTCCTGCATCCCGTAAGGCCTTGGCATTCTCCATGTTTTTAGTGATAACTTCATGCAGAGTGCAGCAAATGGCAGTAACGGTGTCATCCGACATGGCCTTGCTTGCTGAGCTGTTGCTGTTGTTACCTCCTGGAAGTCGGTGGACCAGATCCCGCATGGCATACTTGCCTTTTTGGAAAGAAAATGAAGGGAGAATGTTGAGGAAATTTAAAGGAAGAATGATGGGGGAGATCCAGGGAAAACACACAAGGCAGTGTTAGTGCCATTTTCATAATTTCAGGTCTATAATTTGCTGTCAGTATTATCCTATCATTAGCCGTATTTATACAAACATTTGTTTAAGCAGCATTTTGCCCATTAGGACCTCTACTAATAGTCCCTAGTAATATCAGTGAGAGCTTCAGGGTTTGAGTTATATCCTTTCTTTGTGCAAAGGAGACAGGTACAGTAAAGCTAAGTACGTGTGAAAGTGTAAATCAAAGATTTGAGAGCCCAGCAGAAGTTGGCCAGTCCATATCTTCCTTACCCCATGATAGCAACACCATTTACGTGAGTCCAAGGCAAGCTGGCTGGGATGATGCATCTCTACTAATAAAATCATCAATGTGTAGCAGTTACTAGGGATAGTACAAAGGTAGTGAAGCCAGCCAAATTGGAGTTCTCTGTGAATGAGTAGTTGATTTTCTCTGGAGCGCAGGCTTCACTGTACATTAACTAGGTGTAATTATGTTATTGTACCTTATAATATGCTTTAAAAAGCTATTGTTATTCCTGTCGTTTGAGTTGTGTGAATATTAGTGATTTGGAGGAGAGGTTTCTCTGCATTGTGTTGCAGTCTGATATCTAGCAAAGGTATATCTCCATATACTTTATCAGGGGCAGGGATAGCTCATGGTTTGAGCATTGGCCTGCTTAAACTCAGGGCTGTGAGTTCAATCATTGCAGGGGCCATTTAGGGATCTGAGGCAAAAAGCTGTCTGGGGATTGCTCCTACTCTGAGCAGGGGATTGGACTAGATAACCTCCTGAGGTCCCTTCCAGCCCTGATATTCTATGATTATCTTACTTAACATTTATAACTTAAATTTTCTATCAAACTGAGCAGGAGGACATAGTCATTGTGATTTTCCATTATAATTTTTTTCATATTTAAATACAGACAGAAATCTTTAAAAAGTTGCTTGCACGAATGTAGTGCATGGGAAAGATACCACGCCAGAAGTCCTGGAGAAGGAAATTTTCCATGTAACTACTGGACAAGTACAGCACAGGCAGCAGAACTTCCCCACACTGCCACATCAAAGCGCCTTAGCCCTGTTCTGGAGGGATTAGAAAGTTTAATATAGCCGCTCTTCTAAGATGAAGACAAGCTGAACAGTGAAGAGACTAGGGCCCACATCCAACTCTCAGTGAAGTCAGTGAACACATTCCCATCAACTTCAGTAGCGCTGGATCAGGATCTTGGGTGAAATAATCAGCTCAACAACATCACTCACTCTCAAAATGGGAATGACACGATTGTCAGGACAAGTAACTGGAAGTAATCCATATTACTTTCTGGCCTGAAATGTAATCAGAAATCTTCTCGATCAGACATTACAAGCCCTGATAAGATGGCATATAGTAAGTGCTTATTAAAAAGCTTACTCCTGAAGTTACAAAGAGAACTCTTGGTGTCTGAATCTGAAAATCAAAAGAAGCAGAAGACTGGCCCTTTGAGTGTCCTTATGTCAGATTTTCCATCATAAATTGTTATTTTTTTACAATACTATCTGCAATGGCGAAAATCTATCCAATCATTTGGAACAATGCATTAATAATACAGTACACACCAAAATCCATGTACTGTCACAGTAAAATCAAAGTATACCAAATTAATTTTGTGACAATGTCAGATCCAGAAACTCCTTTACTTTTGATCAAGCAACAAAATTCCTTGTAATGGAAGCATAACACACTAAAATGTGTGCAATTGTTTTATTATCAGTGTGTTGCAATTTGGAATTTAACATTTGACTTCAAATGTTTTTGTTTCTGTACAGCTAATATTTCATTATTGTAATCCGCATTATTAGATTTTTCAGCAATTTCATTTAAATGTCAGATGCAGTACATAAATGGGTCATATGAATGCTGTGCAATTCTTTTCCCCATACATACCTATAATAGTATCTGCCAAAGAATAGCCATATAGAATGTGGTGTGCAAATATTAATATGTAGTTCTAGCCAGTAATAAGTGTTTCATTAACAAAAACATTGATTACATTCATTTATGCCTTTTAACACAAGCCAATTAATGGTTGCATATCTGTTATAGTCACTTGAATACTACAGTCATAGAATATGGTAGATCATGCTTGCCTGTCAAAGTAGATTTGCAAAAGGCTGTTTATTTATGCCATTTGTTTCAGTCTTCACTCCTCTAATACTACCATTGATCAGGATCACAGAATCACATAAATAGATGAATTAGATTAGTTAGAGGTTCTCTCTTCCTTTCCCTGTACCAACCATCCAGGACATGCCAAAGCTCCTTTTTTTACCTATAGCAACTGCTCAACCTAAACTAGAGGGGGGTATTTATGCACCCCTTTCTTTCAGATCATGGATTTCAGCTCTTGTGTGGCACTGTATGTTAAAGCTGCCCTCTCTTTGGCAGCTAGTGACCGCAGTCCTTAATTCTGAGTATGAAAATATCCAGTGACTGCCCTTGAGCAAGTTTTTCTATGGAATTGGGCAGGAATACAAGGATCACTGCACCACAAGAAAGCATAAATGTATGTATATATATGTTTCGCTGGATGCCTGCATATCAGAATGGTACCATGGTTACGAGTGTAGCAGAAAACGAATATAAATACAATAAAATCGATACTACGACTAATAATTAATCATGAACATTCCAGATTTGAGACTGTATTCAGAACAATGTCCAGTTCACTAGTTAGTGGTTCTAGTACTTCTATTCTGCACATACAGAATCGATCAGTGAGTGGAAAATTACAGAACTGGGATGTGGGAGTGGGGAACAGTATAGAGTTATACATCAGATGTGATGCAGCCTCCCTGTCTTCTGACTGGCTGAGAGAGTTCATTTCAGTATAATTGTGCATAATTCGGGAAATATTTAATTTAGGTTCAACTCTTGAGTTTGTGTGGATTCATATCAAAACGATACCACGGATCAAATTCAGCCCTTGAATATGTGTATGCAGTTTCCATCAGCTTCAATGGGAATTGCATGCATCTTAATGTAGAATTTGGCTCTGTTTCATTTCACTTTTTAAATAAGGCTATTTCAGTCAGCTATATGAATAAAATATTTTTTACATGCTAGTTGGACAGGCCAAACCTGGTTTAAAATATTAAAGAATTGATTCATTTTGTAAAGTAACATTATTTTGAACCAGCAACGCACGTCGGAAGAACAGCAGTCCAGATTTCATAAAACAGAAAATTATTGAAGTCCTCATTTGAGAGGTCCTGATGTTAACAAGCATGGCTGTTACAAGTCATACTGTAACACGTTTCCTACATTTTTATTGTTCTGAAAATTTATTAGCTATTTTAAATGAATATATGGGAGAAGAACAAATATACCTATGTATAAAAATTACTAGTGTGAATTAATCCAAATTAATTAATGTAGATCACATGAGCTGGTTGTGGAAAAACTGTAATGAGGAGGCAATAATCCATTACATGTCTCTGAGATACAAAATGGGTCAGGAACAGCTCTCATCAACAATAATGAACTTACATTTATATTGCATTTGTATCTCCCTGGCTTCTAAAGTGCTTTACAAACAAAATGGTAACAACATTACTGCCATATTAACACTTCACAGTGTGACAAGATGGTCGATATAGTATGGTGGATCTTGCGCTTTTCTTCGTGGGGGGGGCTAAAATACCACCCTTTACCCCTGCTCTTGGGGCACCGAGGGCCCCACTAGTGGCCCAGGAAGGTGGTAAAGGAGGGAAGCGTGGGAGGAGTCTGGGTTTGCGCCTCACTCTGAGTCCCAGCCCCTCTCAACCCTTGCAGGTTCTTACTCTCTTCCCCCTTGGGTGGGGTACCTTCAGTCCTTAAACGCTGGGGGAGGGAGGGGTCTCCCTTACTCCGGTTTTCTGTTCCTCCAAGTCTCACAGCACACCTCCAAGCTCCAGTCCTCTCTCCTTCCCCCGACTGCCTGAAGCAGGGGGTTTTATTAGGTTTCTAACAGGGCCTTAATTGATTACAGGTGCTCCAATTAATCCATAGCAACCCTCCCTAGTCTACAGGGAACCACGCCTTAATTAACCTAGGGTTTATATACTTCCCTTCTACCACTTCTCACTGCTCCCTGGCCCTCCTGTATCACATATCCCTCTCCCCTACTCAACGCCATGGGGTTGGGCTACTTGGGACGAAAGACAGTGTTGTCGTGATAGGCCGTCCGCGTTGCTGTGTTGGCTGCCGGCTCTATGCTGGATCCGGAAGTGAAAAGGTTGTAGGGACAGGAACCATCTAGTCACTCGTGCATTCCTCTCCTTATTTGTGTGCATCCATTGGAGTGGGGCGTGGTCCGTTACAAGGGTGAACTGCCGCCCAAGTAGATAGTACCGTAGAATCTCCATGGCCCATTTAATTGCTAGGCATTCCTTTTCTACTATGGCATACCGTTGCTCCCTGGGCAGGAGGTTTCGGCTGAGGTAAAGGATTGGGTGCTCCTCATCTCCCACCATCTGTGAAAGGACGGCCCCAAGTCCTACCTCCGAGGCGTCTGTTTGTAGGATGAATTCCTTTGTGAAATTTGGGGCTATGAGCACTGGATGGCTGCAAAGGGCTGTCCTTAGGTCTGTGAAAGCTTCCTCTGCTTCCTCAGTCCACTTAACTATCTCCGGGCCCCGAGCTCTTATCAGGTTCGTCAGAGGCGCTGCCCTTGTGGCGAAGTGAGGGATGAACCGGTGATAGTACCCTACTATTCCTAAGAATGCTCTGACTTGTTTTTTGCGGATTGGGCGGGGCCATTTCTGTATTGCCTCCACTTTGTTCCACTGGGGCTTCACCAGGCCCCTTCCGACTACATACCTGAGATATCTGGCCTCGGCTAGCCCTGTTGCACATTTGGATGGGTTAGCGGTGAGGCCAGCCTGTCTAAGAGTATCTAGTACCGCTTCCACTTTC